CATTTAAATTGTGTGTGTGTGTGTGTGTGTGTGTGTGTGTGCATGTGAAAGTGCAGGGCCTGCAGAGGCCAGAAAAGGGTGTCAGATTCCCTGGAGCTAGAGTTACAGAAGTTATAAGTGGCCCCACAGAGCTGGGAACTGAATTCAGGTTCTCCTCAAGAACCTCCAGCCCAGGAACGATTCTTAAAAACACTGATTTATTCTCTAAATGGAAGGAGGAGATAGCTTATTATGTGCTAACATTGCTGGGTTCTTTATACATTTTGTCTCATTTTTGCTTCACATCAATCCCAAAAGACAGGGATGACTAGACCATCTTACACAGTCACAGAGCTAAGTGACAAACCCAGATGGCTACACAGTTCCTCATCTACCTAGCCACAAAGGCCATGTTTAATCAGTTCCTGAAGATCTACTATGTATCAGGAACTGCCTGATCCGACGTCAGGGAAGTTCTGAAAAAAGGCATGGCATGCTAAGCAGAGGTCTGAAGAACCCTCTCACCCTATGCTTAAGTGTATGCTGGCTGCAGAGTAAAGCCTCCATGTAAAACAAGACAGCATCCTCTAAGAGTAGCTGAGGTATCACAAAAGAAATCACAAAGGAATTATTTTCAAAAAGCTTAACAGTCAAGTATAACTCAGGGCTTTGTGCTCTGCTGTCTTATTCAGGGTTACTATTGCTGTGATGAAACACCATGACCAAAGGCAAGTTGGAAAAGAAAGGATTTATTTGGCTTATGCTTCCATATCACTGTTCATCACTGAAGAAAGTCAGGACAAGAAGTCAAAACAGGGCAGTAACCTGGAGGCAGCAGCTGATGCAGAGGCCATGGAGGGTGCTGCTTACTGGTTTGCTTCCCCTGATTTGCTCAGCTTGCTTTCTTATATAATCCAGGACCACCAGGCAGGGTTGGCACCACCTATAATGGGCTGAGTATACCCCAACCCATCAATTACTAAGAAAATGTCCCACAGGTTTGTCTGCAGCCCAATCTTTTAGAGGCATTTTCTCAACTGGGGCTCCCTCCTCTCTGATGACTCTAACATATCAAGTAGACATAAAACTTGCCAGAAGTTCTACTAACTGAGATGCATCCCTAGCTCCTGGATAAGAATTTAAAAAAAAAATAATCCTGGCTAGAGGTTTGGTTCAGTGATAGAGTCACATCTTTGTTATACACAGGCCTTGAGTTCAATTCCCAGCACCAAAGAAAACATTCACTTTTAACCACACATCTACTTACTGTGTCTATTAACCTAGAATAGGTGTTCCAGGTTTTCTTTGGCAAACAGTGTAAGCAGGATGGCTGCATTTCACTATGTATGTACAGCATACTAGAATAAGGGTAAGATTGCTAGGCAAAGAACACGTGCTTACTGTCTCCAAGGTATTTATGATTTAGTGTTGGTCTGAACTACCTACATCCTACCTGATACATCATTTCAGTTCCCCTTTCTTGCCCCATAAAATAATCTGTTCTTTACTTCAATTAGCTCTCTAAAAATATCTCTAAAATATCTTTACTTTGAATACTTAGAATATCTCTTCTTTGGATATTTTAACATGCCCTTATTTATTTTCTCTTGGAAAACCATCTGGACCTAATTCCATGCCCTCCTTCCTGCCAACAGCATCTTGCCATAGTCTTCGTTTATATTTCTTACCTATCAACTCCGACCTTTCCATCTAAATACTACATTCCACAAACAATGCAGCATCTAAGGGAATGCGCTGGCTGGTCTCATGTCAACTTGACACATACACTAGAGTCATCTGAAAGGAGGGAAACTTCAATTGAGAAGATGCCTCTATACGATCCAGCTGTAAGGCATTTTCTTAGTAAGTGGTCAATGAGGAAGGCCTAGTCCATTGTGGGTGGTGCCATCCTTGGGCAGGTAGTCCTGGATTCTATAAGAAAGCAGGCGGAGCAAGCCATGGGAAGCAAGCCATGGGAAGCAAGCCAGTGGGCAGCATCCCTCCATGGCCACTGTATCAACTCCTGTCTCCAGGTTTTTGCCCTGCTTAAATTCCTGTCCTGATTTTCTACAGTGATGTGGAAGTGTAAGCCAAATAAACCCTTTCTTCCCCAACTTGCTTTTTGGTCATGATGTTTCACTGCAGCAATAAAAACCCTAACTAAGACAGGTAACATACAATGCTTGTTTTATTAGGCACCAGAATAAATGCCAATAACTAGCCAGAATGTATGAGAAGCTAGTCTCATAGCAATAATCTTAGGAAATTTCAGGGTCAAATTTTGTATAAATTTTTTGTTCTCTTAGGATGTTTTGTGGTGACTAGATTTTGAAAGCATTAACTGCTAAGATATAATTAAAAATCAGTATATGTATTAAAAACAGGTTATTCCCACTGCTAGCTACTTGTTGAGGGTTATACAGAGAAAAATGTATCACTGTAACTGGTTAGTTCAAATATTTGCAAAGTAAGTAAGACCTTGTCTAGAAATGTTTGTCTTCCTTTGTTCCCTGAAATATCTCAGCAGACATCATTCTGAGCCAACAACCATGCCACCATGCCAGTTGTGTAGCAGGTGACAGGTACATTTCCCAAAGGGCCAGCAAGTACCTGTTGGGATAAACAAGCTACTGATAAGGGCGGAACAACACAGCTGGCTGTGGTGGCTCATATTTAGAATCCCAGCAAGTGGTAGGCTATGGCAAAAGAATTAAGTTCGAGGTCAGCGGCAAAATAAGTAACATTTATGTTGTTGTTGATGATGATGATAATGGAGGAGGGGAAGAGGACAATGAGGAGGGGTGAAGGGCTGGGAGGAGGGGAGGAGGAAAAGAGGAAGAACAACAACCTCAGAGCAACTGAAATTATGTAACTGCCACAGTAAAGGAAGCACTGCCGGGGTGAGGGAATCCTCTCAGGTTGAGCAAACTGAATCTTTACAAAAGAAATACACACACATACACATACACACACACACCACTACCACCAGACTGTACAAGTGTGAGGCAGACAACTGTTCCATTATCCCTGTAAGAGGAGATTTGAAAAGGAGGTGGGTAGATGCAGATGACAGAAAGTGAGTGGGGTGGGGAGGGAATATAAAATACTGTATGAGAGATTATGAAATGTGCTGCCAACTGGGGAAAAAAGCCACATCTGAACACTAAATAAGGTCTCAAATACTAAAGGCACAACAGTGTTCCCCTTATTAAAGCATAACCTGGAAATCTCAAGGGATCCAGACTAACAAGTTGGAGATACTGTGCAGTGTGAGTTGATACAAGCTGGTCTATTTTAGAATATGCTGAAAATGGTGAGGTTATGAGAACTTTAACATATTAGAAAAATGACCATTGTATAAGAGGGCAGAGGGAAATTCTGCCTTGATAGTTTGACAGCTCAAAGGGACATCCATTTCCCCTAATTCAATTTTGGTTTCCTTTAGCTAAATGTTTCCTTTCTTTGCCACCCCCTTCTCCAAATCAAATAGAACCATGAACTCATTGATCCTAAATATAACTGGAGCTGAAGAAAATATCTTTTTCACGGGCATGAGCACTCTCCAGGTAGCCGTGCCCTGTTACCACAGTGAGTTCAGCATCCTGATGACTCGACAGATGAAAGCGTGTGGTGAGAGAGTGGAAGCCAAACCCACAGAGGCCACAAAGCCCCTGGCATCACAGGAAGCTAAGCTTAGAATCCCTGAAATCTGCTCCCAGCTCCACATCAGAGCATTGGAGAAGAAAGCAAATCTGGAGAAACTGCTTAAGGGAAATCTCATCAGCCACAGAAAAGAGCAGGAGAAACTAGAGAACTGCTCAGGAAGGGTGAGAAGCTTCATTTTAACCATGCCAAGAAAAGGCTGCTCTGGTACTATAATTCCAGTACCCTTCTCAATTATAATCTTGGTGTGTGTGTGAGTGTGTATGTGTGTGTTGCATGATTGATAAGCACCTGGCATACTGCTCTGGCTTCTACACATACACCAAAAACATGCATGCATACACACACACACACACACACACACACATTTAAATAAATAAATAAAAGCAAATAAAATCCTAGAGATGTAAACCAAATAGGGTTGGTATGTAGCTCAGCAGTTCAGCACATGAAAACAGAGGAAGCCCACAACTACGATTGAATTGAGAGAAAATGGGGATTGTTACATATCCCACTCTGGCACATAAAGATAAACATGTAGAAGGAAATGAGAAGACTGTCTCTTTTATAGGCCACAGTCACTGACAGAGACACCAAGTATCCTAGAAGAGGGGTAGATGGAGAGGTACTAACAGAGACAGAAACACTCTCTCACGTTGGTCAAACTAGCCCATCCCATCTAGCACAGCCACACTGTGCTAGATGATGAACCCTGCTCTGACCCCAACCATCACATCCTTCACCAACCCCCCTTTCCATCTAGCCTTGGCCTACTCCTAGCTGTCTAGTAGCAAATGAAGGCCAGAAAGCGGGGAGTCTTCTTGTGTGTAAGCAGGAATGATGAAGAGGCAACATGATAGCTTAGGAGATGCCACAGCCCTGTGCTTTCCTTGGGAGTTTACATAAAAAGGTTCCCTTGTATTGAATCAGACCTGTCTGTGTTCCTTCTAGGGTCGGGAAATGAACTGCCCCACTCGATAAATTAACAGCTAGCGCTGAGGAGAAAACAATAAGATTTCTCACATGGTCTCAGTTTTACTAAAAATATTAATTATTCATCGTATCACTGTCTCTTTAGAGAGAAATGACTAGAAACCGTTCTAGAAACAAAAAGGGCCTTCTAACTTTGATAACTACTCTGTAAGATCTTGTCAAGATGCAACAATCACATATCACATATCCCTTCCTCTCTAATGGAGACAAACGTTCCCCAGGGCCTGCAGTATGATGAGCAGCGGCTGGCCTGAAACTGCTACTGCCTGCCCAGTTAGCTTCGAGGATTACGTTTCTCTCACTGCATTCCTTTCAGAGCCCAGAATACACAGCACCAGTCAGAAAAGAAGCTGGTGCAGACATACATGTAAGGCTGGTGGTACCTGTAGGAGAGCATGATGCATTGTCACCTCCAGCTCAGCTAAAACATGAGCAGCATCCGTGCTGTCTTCTTGAACCTCCAAGTCCTCCTCAGGGATGGTCTCCCAGTTGTTCTGGTGTGCAGCCAGAGTGTGTACTAGTTCATACTGACCGGGGAGTGCCAGGCTGACCCGAGTCTGAGTCCCATAGGTGAAGCGGAGGCGCCGAAGCCTACAGCTCTCGTCACTGTCCAGCTTGATGGTGGGAAGCACCTGCACCCCCAGCAGCAGGTTCAACAACTGGCACTTGGCATTACAGTCCTGGCCGAGGATCAATATGCAGGGAAGGCAATCCACAATCTGCTGGAGATATTTCTCTTCCTTAGGTGGGAAGGAAATGCAGCTCAGCTGACCTGGTTGGGGAATGGGGAGAGTGGAGGAAAAATAAGTGATAAAGAATAAGGGCAATAGAGAGACTCACACGAAGACTCAACTAGAAAGGCACAGTCCCAGAGGGAAATTTCCAGGAAACTTTTGGTTAAAGGAGGTACTGGGAAAATGTACTAGTCAGAAAATGTTCTTCAAATGTCATAACTGACCAACCAATAATGTCACCTGACCAACTCATCTCAGGAAACAAAAGGGGACAGTGACCTGACAGTCCTCCTCTTTCATGCAGTGGAGGGACAGCTTACAAGGATTCCATCACAAACACAGGATCATTAAATGACAATAACTAGGGTCTGAATCCAAGTAGAGACTACATCTAAATGTACCAGAATTAAACCTTCCTCTGACAGAAGGCAAAATACTTGAATGCACACTCCTTTTAAATCCCTACCCTATGCAGTTTTAGCTTATGCTCCTCATTTAAACTTACTTCACTCCTGAATGCTGGTGAATACATATATGGAGGGGGCAGTAAAAACCTCTGCAAGATGACACGAGCTCTAAGGTTTTCTAACTCATCACCCCGACAGCTGAGCACAGCACCCCAGCTGCCAAGTTTTCTCAAGATACTGGATGCTTAATTGAGATCTCTGTTCCCACATCAACCCATACTCTTTTCTGTTGATGGCTGACAAGACCATGAGTAAGACAAAGGGACAAAACTGCTCAGCAGGATAAAATCTAGGCAAATCTAAGATGTGATCTCAAAAATAATCTCCTTTGAGGATACCACCACTAACCTAGAGGGCTCACTTCCTCAAACAGATTTCAGTACTATTATACAGACCAAAAAGCTTAAAAACCTGTTTGGGAAAGAATATGAAACTGGTTCCTGGAAATGCTCAAGAAAGAACTCACTCAGTCACTCACAAACTGCTTCAGCAGTGGGGTGTCCCAGCATCTAAGATTCAAGAAAGCCAATCTTTGAGCCAAACACACACAACATAATTGAAGCGTAAGGAGATACTATTTGCCTTAGTCACCTAACAATATATTACATCAAACCACTTGTGGGGTTGTTTTGTTCATGAGGCGAGAGGCCTGACTCACTGAAAAGGTAGTTCTTCAGAACATACCTGCCTCATCAGAACATACCTTAACCTTCACCAGAAAGGTTCAAGAGGTCTGTCCTCACTAAGTCCCTCTCTACATTTATTTTGGTTCTCTGTTTCACGTACAGCTACTAGTGCAGCACCCTGGCCTCGGCATATACATCAGCAACACTAGAATGGGAAACCTGTTCTCCTGGGGAAGAGACAGTTCCTCTGAAAGCCTACAGAGAATTTCCTGAGAGCCTGTTTCTGTGCAAGCTGTCTAAGAAGCACACGAGTGAACACAGCCAGAATACTCGTTAGTCTAATCCTGGCCTACACTCTAAACTGGGAAGGAACAAACAATGGTCTGTTGCAAAGAACAATAGGCAACCCCTGAGTTCTGGGTCTCTTTGTCCACTATATACCGTAATATATTCCATACAGAGCAGAGGTTCTTCTATTAACAACTATTTCTAAGAATCAAAGCATGAAGATCCTTCCTATTTCCTGCATCCTCAGCACCCAACACAATGACTGACAGCACTGAAATGATGGATTTGCTCTGTGTGGGAGCTCATTGGTTGTGAGAAGCAGTCTACAGAAGTGACTCTATCTGTAAAGCACAGTGTCGTAATGAGCCATCATTCCTAAAATGTTCCATCTTTACACAGTGAGCAGCTGTGAAGAAAACAGAGCTGCAGAGTTTGAAAGGAAGATGTCAGCTGCCCTGCCGTCACTCTCATGTCCTCATCCCCATTTTCCTCTTTTCTAGCCCTGCCCAGATTCTCACCTAAGGACTCTGTTCACACTGACAACCTTGACTTTACCATCATAAAAGCAGTTTTACAAGCAAAACAAACCAACAGCCCTAAGTAAGTTCTGCCACTGCTGCTCCCTCTAGCAGAGTGTGTAATAAAGAAAATCCACCGAGCCTCTTTCAGGACAACACCTCTGAAAGTATCAGCAACAGGAAAGCCAATAAAGCATGCTGCATCAGCCAAAACCACAGAGACACACCCCATTATTCATCTGACCCAAATCATCACCTTCCCATGCTCCATCTCTCCTACAAAAACAGTCTGCAGAAACAAGCCTCTCTAGTCAAAACAGACAAAACTGGTGCTGTGGCAAGGGGGCTGAGGTTGAGCCCCATTCTCCTTCTCATTTCCTGGCACTTTGCCAGGATTTCGTGTGCAACCAGCTGAGCTGGGAAGGCCTTTATCAAGAGAGCTGCTCCCTTGTTTTCCAGCATATCACTACCCTCGTCTTCTGCTTTTCCCATGAGGCTTAGGCTTTTTCAGTGATCGCCAACATGTCCACACAATTTGAATAAGTGCACAGATGAAGTGAAGCCAAAAGCAGAAGAGATGATCTTACTTCTCTGGGCGCCTTTGTGTGACAAGGAACTCAGCTGGCAATGGAACAGCCTGAGGTGTTTTCTCATCCTTACACTGCTCATCCATGAACTGACAGAGTTAGACCATCTTCAACACTCTCTCTCCGGTTCTAAATTCTCATTTTAACTGATCGGATTGTTGGCAATGCTATTCTGAGATAGGGTCTATGTAGACCTGGCTAGCCTGGGTACTAAGTAGATAAGGCTGACCTCAAACTCAGAGATCCACCTGCCTTTGGTTCCTAAAGGTGTGTGTGTCAATATGGCAGGCTGTTTTTATTTTTAAATTATACATGTATTTAATTGTGCAAGCTCCTCTTGAACTACTATTAAGTACAGATCAAAGGTGACTAGACTCTCACGGGCTCTAAGGACTACAATGCAGTCTTAGCTCTGAAGAAAAGATTAAAAGCTGTGTCTGACACTGGGGGAGGAAGGAAACCTGCTTCTGAGCTGCAGCAGCTGCCTCACAGACACTTAAAGGACTTCTGAGTTAATCGGGTTTTCTTTGATAATTAATACAGCAGCATCTGCATATGGGCCGCCAGAAGGTAACAGTGGGGCTTCTCAGCTAGTGCACATTAACCCTGCCAACTCTAACTGCAGGAAAATTCAAATCAAATTATCCTGAACGCAAACCAAGGCTTTATCTCTCCGTCTTTCTTCATGGTGGTTGTTCTTAAACACAGAGTTATCCTGATTGAACTTCCTTCTAACAAAGGTTTCAAGTTAGAAGGAAGAAGGGCAAACAAAGGAGTATGCCCCTGTATTTACTTGGTCTAGATAGTATTTTTGGTCCCTTCCTGTGTACTGACCTCTGTTTGCCTCATCTCAATGTACTTGATTCTCCCAGATAACTTCTGTCCTCCTTTATAAATTAGAAAATAGGCTTTAAAAAAAAAAAATCAAACGTGGCCCAGGTGGTTTCAGTGCAGAGCTGCACCCTGGTCTCAGGAATCCCCACCATGCCATTTCCCAAGCCAGGCCTAAATATACAAAATTTGGTAATTACAGGACTTCAATTTAAAACAAACTGTACAATTGCTATGACTGTTCCTCTAGCCCATGAGGAATAAAGCCTAGGGAGAAAACAGAAAGACCTGCCAGACATGGCAAGCACCAGGAAAGCAGAGGCAGTAAGGTCAGGGTCTGAGACAACCTGGGCTGTAATGAGAAGCTGTTAAAGTCAAACCCTGGTGAGAGGATGGCTCAGAGGTTGAGAGCACTTACTCCTCCTCCTAAGTTCAATTCCTAACCCTCAAGTCAGACAACTCACAATCTCCTGCAATTCTAGCTCCAGGGGATCCAGTGCTTGCTCCAGGCCTCTGCAGTGCCTTGACACTCCTGGCACACATGAGTAAAAGTAAATCCCTTAGCAGGGACGGGGGTTCTGAGACAAGGACTCACTATGTGGCTCTGGCTGCCCTAGAACTCTCACTATGTAGACCAAGCAATCCTTGAACTCACAAAGATTCACCTGTCTCTGCCTCCAAGTGTGTTCTGATTAAAGACCTGAACCACTACGTCTAGCCAAAAAGAGTAAATCTTTAAAATAAATAAGCAAACAAACAGAATTACTTTTGACTGGTGCACACTCAAAGCCACCATTTATTCCACATATTTCTGGAATCCCTTCTCTAAGAAGCTGTAGGTGCCTTTCTACAAAGTTCTGAATGTTCTTCCCATCAGCCAGGGTATAGCACTTTTTGGATTTGAAGTAACATATTATGTCACTAGTGCCCTGTTAGGATACACTGACAGACTGGATTACATTTGCAGAAATGGCTAATTGGCTTGTATCCATACACTTCCATTCTTGCTTGTTTTCCACCCCAGTTGGTAATATATACTCATGGTGAGCCAAGGATTAGAGAACATCAGCTCATGGTACTATCTAGAATATGTGCAACTTTGGTCTTTACCTTTTAATACTATGGTAACATTGGGATCCCTAAAATAGACTACCAAAAACATGGCACTTCAGCAGGCTGAATACTTCCAGTAAAAGTCCAGAAGGTCTCTGAAATAAAGTCTCTCTCCTGATTCTTCTGCCTGCCAGTTTTTTACCCTTCTTCAAAGTAATTCATAGAATTCAATATTTTCTTCCTGAAGGTGGACATGGAAATTGGAAAAATCTTCCATGCCAAGCCAGTTATAAAAGTTAGAAAATTCATACCTTTTCTCTTTTCCTTTTGAGACAGGCTCTCAGTGTAACCCAGGCTGGCCTTGAGTGAGTGCTGAGATTACTGACCAGCCACCATACTTAACGTCATTTCTTTTCTCTGGATTTCAGCAGTGTCTTGCTGCATACTGAGAGGAAAAAAGGCTATAGAGGAAGCCCAAGAAACGAACAGACAGGCCGTGCTGGGCCTCCCCACTGTCTACAATAGTGTAGGTCATACCCTGGCTAGTGCCATTCTACACAGCGGTCCCTCTTCACCAAACCTAAGCACTACAATCATTTCCCCTGGATTTGGGGCCATCGATTATGAAGCTCCGGGCACACAAAACTTTAATCCATCACTGTGCTTTG